CTTACCATATGAGGAAAACATTCTCGATGTGACGTGTGACAAACTTAAAAACTAGTGTGACACATAGTACTCAACGAGCTCTTTCGAATGGTATATTATTACTACTTTGTGTACAAGTGTGACGCATGCAACTATTCTATTTTGTTATTGAAGTTTGAAAATCAGGAAAGGTTGATCGTTTGATGAGTACTTTATTTTATTTGCGAAAAAAGTTCTTCGGATCCTCATTATCGAGCAGATTTATTTTGAAATGACCTTTCTAACAAAAAGAAAAAATGAAGAAGGAGAAAACCGAAAAGCACAATTAATATTTGACAATTAATGAAAAATAATAATATAATAATGAATCTTTAATTATAGTATATTATTACTACTATGCGCAAGTGTGACGCATACAACTATTCTATTTTTGTTATTGAAATTTGGAAATCAGGAAAGACGATCCATTGATCGTTTGATGAGTACTTTATTTTATTTCGAAGAAAAATTTGAAAGCAGAAGTTTATTCAGCAACAAAGGAATAAGTTTGAATGTATAATTGAACACGTTATGTGGAATATATTGCAGTCTCGATCACATCTGCGCCATCGTACCGGTACATTCCTGACGGATTTATATCATTAAACTTAAAATAACCATTATCTGTCCGTATAGTGACGGTAAAATGTTGACTCTGATGACATACTTTACCAACAAGCTGATAACTAAAATGTAATAAGATGATATAAGTCACACAGTTCATACACATGTCTACCAGTTTTGATCATGAAGTACGCGTTTTTCCCCGATGAACCTACGTGTGAACCTCTTAGTTACACGCCATGCTTGAGGTAAGAAATAAGTTAACATTTAAAGCTGCTCTGATGTGTTATAATTAGTAACCTATTATGTCTTTTCTCATAAAAGACATGCACCTACGTACATGCTATCTGCAATTTTCAATGATTTTGGTAAATCGCTTGTTCGAGTTCGAGTTTCTGAAGGCATATCAATAATGCAAAAGGATGGTTTGGTGAGAAACTTTTTTGGCGAATAAATACGCTCTGCAGCACAACAGTATAATAATCTAAAAGGTAATAAATCTATTATATACATGAGTAAAACAGAAAATGGACCGTAGATACATACCGTCTAATGTTATCTTCCATGAGCATATCACTCTCAAATGTATCACCCAAATAATTTCCATGTACAATGGCTCCGCTCCGCATCTACTTCTTTGCTCGTTGGCAAAATCTTCGCATTCGTCTTGATACATGTTATTTTTCTTTCTGTAGAGAACACTCGTACTATAGTATAATTACAGCAGTTTACTTTTTCTGATTGCTTACCGAAAGATAATTTGTCGATGTAGCGACGAAGTGAGTGGTTTTGAACAATTGGTGTTTGTACAGTAGCTATCACATTTATATTCTTGTGCCGCTGTTACGTATCTGAAGACAGTTTCGTCCGTACTACCAAAAAGATTCTATTCATTTTCATTGCTAGTTCGGATATTGTCGTTGAACATTTTGTAAAGTATCAGCCAAAACAACCGAGCATTAACCCACCCATTTTCTTCTACTACATTGAAGGTTTTATGCGGATGATGATATTGCGTTCGGTTTGGATAGCTGCCTGTGATAATGGGCGTGTTCGATACATGACATAAATGAAAACAGACCACAATCTAAAGCGCAGGTGTTAAGTACGTGATAGCACGACTGCCCAATCATTCCGTCCTGAATACCCCACTTAGGCCAACGGATAATTATCAAAGGGGATTTTGTGCAGTGTTGTGGATACTACTGTATTAGGCGGTGGTGACTGTTGCTGTTTTCCTGTGCTCGGTATAGTTGTCGGGGCTTGTAATACAGAATCACGACTGCAGTATCTGACATTTGGCCGGCGGCATCTAGTGCTCCTTCGGCTACTTGCTGTGCTAATACGACTATCCTGTGAGGAGTCATCCTCTTCCCTTTGTGACTATGACCGCGTGAACTCATCTATAGATTCTTCATCGGTTCTTTCCTTTGTTACATCCATATTACCCATGTCAAGTGGTCCAATACAAGGTATACCGCAAAGCGAAACTATAGATACACTAAACGAACAACATACATTCTCAAACATTTTTGTAATTGTATTCACCCAACATCAGACATGCAGCGGTAATGATTATCTGAATTATTACTCTTTATTTTATTGCAAGTATCACTTATAAATAACGTACGGCGGTAATATCTGTCCACTGGCACTAATGCAGAAAAGTGTTGTTATATGGGTCTTGCCCGATCCATACTGACGTTGGTATGTAAATTTCTTATTTTTTCTGACAATAAC